AGGCATAATAATAATGTATATGTTTAGAATAGTGATCAAATGTGAAATGTAATATTCATTCTATTGAACAATGATGAGAATCGACAAAGAAACTTTTAAAATCTTTTGAAAGAAATGTAATATGTCTTTAAATGTGTGATTAACAATTTAGGTTTAATCTTTGTTGAATTTGTCCACAATCAAACATGTTAAGTTTGCAAGCTTTAATGTGAATAAACACCTGTATAGTATTGTGGACTATCCAAGATGGTATCTGCATGTTAGAAGGTGATAAATAATCCAGGTACAAGGTAAACCAAGGGGATCAAATCGTGTATCAACAGCGACGATGGATACAGTAGTTGTTACAGTCAAACTAAAATTACATAAAGACCTCGTTTAAAAAATAAAAAAGTGTAAGCCATTCATCTGCTTTAAGTTGCTAATAAATTCAAGTAGTATGTAATACATTTTTTTTAGCGAAGCAATTACTTGTTGTTGCCAAACAATTACAAGCAATATATACAATAAATGACACTAATACTTAAAGCAACATAAATATATACAATAATGAAACTTGAAAATACGAAAAGCCATCATACCATTAAAATTATATTCAATCAAGATTAATATATGACAACAGAAAAAGACAATATATATTTTAATTTACATCATAAACAAAATATCTTTCCCTAGGAGTGTTACTATACCATGTGGTTTCAACAGAGAATAAGAGCAGATAAATAGAGAAGTTAAAATGAATTAACACAATGATGGAACTTCATCACTAACATGTGTCTTGGTGAAAGACTGCACAGGTATTATGGCAAGGTGGTCAACCATGTCTCGCTGATACCCGACACAGTAATTTTGTGGTGAAATTCAATTCACATAGAAGATCTGGACTTGTAACATTAAAATCAACTTAATATAAACATAAACACTTTTCACAAAACAGCGAATCAATGGGACAGTCAAAGACTGGGTCTTGTAGTAATAACGAGACAGTTGATAAATACTGTTCATAAATAATACTATTTAGTTGAAACATTTCCTTCAGCTTTCCCAAGAAGTTCATAAGCGTTTTCATTTTGATAAGCAGTGGTAAGTTGACCATAAGGATTATCTTGGTTGTTACTGATGTTGCTGAACAGTTGAGTAAATGGTTGATTGATGGTTGTTTCTGGTTGTGGTATATTGCTACTTGACTGGTCAGTGCTTACTATTTGTGACTGGTTTGACCTAGATCTTGACCTATAATTAATGTAAAGAATATATTTATGTTTTACTAACATAATACACTAATTAACATTATTAGCTATGTGATAGCCACGAAGCATAGTAACATAAGGTGTTCTAGACGGTGGGCGTTCTCCAGTCGCCAAAAGATCCAAAGTGAAAGGTTCAGTCGATGTTTCAACCGATTATTTTATCTAAAGGGGCAGTATAAAAAATTCTTATTAACAAAAGCATCATAAAATACACCTGAAAATATTTCTAAAATATGCTATTACATCTATGTAATACCCTTGATCAAACTGAATTCTTTTTCAAAGGAGTAATTAAAAATAAAGTGTCATATTTGAGAAGGAAGCAGCTTATACCAATTATGCTGTTGGACCTTGGTACCTTTGGCATACGAAGTAACATATTTCTCTACAATTAGGCGTTAATTTTGTTCGTACAGTAGTTATCTAACACCTTCC